GTGCTGCACCCCCCCCTCTCCCCCGCCGAGCTCAGGGTCCCCAGACACACTTGTCCCCGTCGCGCCAGGTACTGCACACCCCCTCTCCCTCCCCCAAGCTCAGACACCCCACACACACACCAAGCTCAGGGTCCCCATCATGCCAGGCGTTGCACACACACCCCCGCCCACCCCCCGAGCTCAGGGTCCCCGTCACACTGGGGGCTGCACCCCCCCCCCCGAACTGAGCTGGGGGGCCCTGTTGCACTGGGCCCTGATTTTGGTTGGGGGGGATGTCTCTGTGGCTCCCATTATGGGGGGGGGGGCGCCATCTTGGTCGGGGTCTGTGCAGCCCCCAGCATGCTGGGGGGCTCAGATCTCAGCCTGGGGGAGCCCTGCAGCGCCCAGTGGGACGCGCCCCCCCCCAGGTAATGGTGGGACGTTGGTGTCTAATGGGAGCGGGGGAGGGCGTGTGATCGGCCTGCCAGAGCCAGCTGATCTGTGAGCCCTAAGCGCCATCGTGTGCCCGACGTGGGAACTGCTGGAGGGCGCCGGCTGGCCCAGAGGAGGGGGGCACCGCCGAGCACCGCCCCCCAGGGACCCTGGAGGGTCGGGCTCTCCGTCGCCAGGCGCTGGGCCTGGCTGCAGCCCCCCAGAGCCAGGACGCCGGGGTTCCACTCCCAATCCCCCTGCCCTCCCGCTGCGCTGGGGGCCTGATCTCGGGCTGGGGGCATTCGCACCAGGCACAGAGCGGGGGTCAGTGACGTGGGGCAGCGCGTCGTTGGCTGTGCCGCTGCGGAGTGGGAGCGAGCCCTCGATCGGGTGCCCCCTGGCCCTGTGGGTCCTGCCGGCTTTGTAGGGAGCGTTTGCCATAAGACTTCCCCCGGGGCTGTTGTTAGCCACAGATGTGCCAGTCACTCTGATCCCCGGAGCGGGGCTGGGGCGATCCCGCGCCGCTGCACGACCCCCCCGAGCGCCCACGTCATCGTCCACCACCGGGGGCCCCAATCATGGCTGGGAGGGGGGAGGGCAGCACACCAGGACCCTGATCGGGGCTGTGCGCTAACTGCCAGTGGCGGCAGCAATGCCCAGCCCCATGAGCCCCGAGCAGGAGGAATGCTTAGCGCCCCCAGCTGGCCAGGTGTTTGTGCAGGGCCATGCCTGTGATCCCCGTCCCCCAGGGGGCTGAGACAAGGGAAGGCCAAGGGGAACGTTGCTTGGCTTCATTCTACCCTGAGAGGCAGCCACCTCTGGGACGGAGCATCCTCCCTCCATACGCCCGGCCCTGTTGAGACGCAGCCACCTCTGGAGCGAGCGACCTCCCCACACACATCCAGCCCGCTGAGATGCACCCACCCCGGGGCAGAGCAGGCTAGCATCATCCCCACTGCAGAGCAAATCCAGCCCCACGCAGCAGCGGCGTGCTGGCGTTAAAGCTCGTCTCGCTAAGGGGAAGGACAAACCTTGTCCCCAAACAGACTTGTGGCCACGCGCTGCAAGTCGGAAATTGCCTTTTCCAGGAGGCCGCCGGCTGCTGCCTGAGTCTGCCAAGAGCCTGTGCCGATCGCAGTGAGCAGGTGCAGCTGGGCCGGATGTAACCCACAGCATCCACCCCGCCAGACGTGCCGACGAGCCGAGCTTCCTCTCCAAAGGGGAACTGAGCCGACCATGGTTTGTTCTCGTCTCTGCCAGCTGGGTCCCCTCGGCTTCCGGCAGGTGGCAACCACGGAGGTGCCCAGAGCGAGGGCTGGGGGCCTGCGTCTCTCCTGATGGACTCGTCCCCTCTGTCTGATCCCCCTAGGCTGACTGACCGGCTTGCAGTTTGGTGGAGAGTATGGCGCAGAGCCCCTAGAACCGCACGCGGGGACAGATTCTGTGCCTCGGTTTCCCCATCTATACAAATGGGATCCTGCTGGGGTCACCTCCTTCCCACATGCTCAAACCCCGCCTCGCGAGTGGGTGACCAGGGTTGTGAATGATGCCATACCCCCAGCCGCAGATCTCCTGCCCGCAGCCTCTTGGGGCTAACGTGACAATGGGGCTCGGAGACCCCCCGTCTCGGTGCCGTTGGTGGGAATCCAGCTGTGGCGAATCCACTGCGCCAGGCCCGAAGAGCGTCACGCCGACGCTCCGTTTCGGCCCTGGGTTTCCAGGAAGCAGAGCGGCAGCAGGCGCTTGTTGTTTACCAACGCTTGTAGGGGTTTCTGCAGCATTAATTATAGCTCAGAGCAGCTAGACGCTTCCTATTTTCTCCCCTAGCCGCCTCCTCCGCATTTATCTCAGCAGCCGGGCTTGCTGCTGCTTTAGGCGGGGAGACCTCAGCAGAATTGAAACGTAGGACTGGAGAACGTGTCCTGGAGGTGATCCTGGCAGGTCATCCCTTCATAACCATATCCAGCTCCGTCTTCAGACGAGTTCTCGTCGTCCTGCTCCTGCTGGGGGCTGGAAACCTGCTACGGCCCAGCCTCCACTGATCTGTGGCCCGTTTTGCCCCATTTGTTCTTGTGCCAACATTGTCCTTTAGCTCCAGTAGCGCTTCTCCTTCGGAGAGCAGCCAGCCCCCTTCGGCCTGCGTTTTCGGCTCACTGTCCTCTCAGGAGATCCATCGTCTCTGTTCCTCGGATCAGCCTAGCCGCCATTCCACGGGCCAGCGGCCAGCCCGGAACGTGTGCGTAGAACTGGCCAGAAAACGGGATTTGCGTCCCATGGGAAATTCGGCCCATTTGAAGCGGGGTTTGACTCCGAAACCGACTGACGTGGCCACAGAAATTCTGAAAAATTGACAAAATTTGGAAACATCCAATCGTTTCAATCCCAGAAAACGGTTAAATAAAATATAATTAACGATCTGTAAAACAAAGATATTAAAATTAATATTCTTCTAATACAAGTCTAAACAAAACACATTTGCCTTCTCAAGTTGTTTGATATAAAATATTAAATATATAGATATAAAAATATAACCATGTAAAAATGACTAGTCTAATAAAAGTCTAAATGAAATGTTTTAACCTTCTTGAATCTTTTGATGATGTAATGAATTAAGCAGATATAAGAATATTAAATAGCTGTAAAATATAACATTACAACTGTAAAGAAAAAAGAAAAAAAATTCTAAGTCTAATTGAAACATTTTTGCCTTATCAAATGGTTTTGATAATATAAAATGTTAGATAATAAATATCCATAAACATAAACCAGTACTAAAATTAATATTCTGATAAGTCTAAAGCCATTTTACCGTAATTAATCATTTTGTTTAGATGATGTCAAAACAATATAATATAAAATATTAAATGTCCATATTAAAGATATAAATAGGTTAATCTTATCTGAAAGTCTAAATGTAAATATTAACATTAAATGAACCGGCTTCTAAACATATTGACTGTGTAGTTTCATTTTGATGTTGGAATGTTTTATTTCAAACACAATACAATATATTAAATATAGAATGTACGTATAAATATACGATCTAAAAGTTTGAATGAAATGAGTGGAAAACGCTTAGCCTTATCCAATAGGTTTGTTTCTATAACGTCAAAGCATCATAAATCTTGTAAATAATTTAAATAAAATATGTACAAATAGAATATCTAAAAGTCTAAACTAAACAAAATACGAGTCACCACATTTTGGCCTTATCGGATTGATGGCTGTTGATGTCAAAACATTTTAGACGTGTCCTATAAAGCTATGGGAAGGTTGCCAGGTAGTCACCTGTGCGGGGCGGGGGGCGGGCTGTTGAGTCAGCGTAAAGTGAAGGGACAAGCTCCGGGCAGGGCTGAGCGCTCGTTGTTCAGAACAATGCCAAGTTCGGGCAGCGCTGCCGTTAGCCGCCTGCAACTGTCCAGCTGTTAAGTTCTCAGCCATTTTCGGCTCTTTTTAACTTCCCCAGTGACGCCTACGCGACAGCAGGGACTTGAGCTAGGAGAGAAACAGTCTCGAAAGCCTAAACAGAGTGAAATGAAACAAGGCTCCAGAAGCTTTCTGGATCCTTGTGGCGTCCAGCACAGCCTAGGGAAGAGTCCGTAGCACATACAGCGTGTTACTGGATAGACGATGTCAACTAGAACATTCTCTGAAAGTCGTAACTCAGAGAAATGCAGCAAGCGCCTAAAACTGGCATCTCGTCGGCTGCTTGGTTTGGACGGCAGAACGTCCTATCTTACAAAACGCGCCTATTCAGTGTCTCGGCTGATTCATTTCAAGACTTCTCAGTGGAAAATGTCCCGTTCCTGCCAGACGTTTCAGTTTGGACCGACCAGTGATTTCCCGCCCGATCTGTTCTGTCGAAAAACTGGCTAACGAAGCCACGTGCAGTCAAGATTTTGGGAGTCCGAGCAAGTCCCGAAATCAGCTGCTCTCCACGATCAGTCCCCCTTTCTCGTTACAAATCTACACCTTATTTGCTGCCGGTCAGAGGTTCCCGTCCTGCCCTCTGGCTGCAGGATCATAGACCCCTCTGCCGACAGACGCCTGCCCCGTTCCCTGCTTCTGTACTGAGCTTGGAGTTTGGGCACAGGCGGGTGCGACAGGAGACAGTGGTCCAGGCTTTCCTTCCAGCCAGGCCCATCCTCCGGCTCACTGGTGTCTGTGTGACTGTTGTGGGAGCATTGGCGATCAGGACCCCCTGACGTGTGGGTGCTGACAGACGCCCCGCCCCCCAGACCGAGATCGGGGTCATGCCGGGCGCCGCACAGATGCCCCACCCCCCGGACCGGGATCGGGGTGATGCTGGGTGCCGACAGACGCCCCGCCACCCCACCCCCCCCGGACTGAGTTCGGGGTCAGGCCGGGCGCCAAACAGACGCCCCGCCCTCCGGACCGAGATCGGAGTCAGGCCGGGTGCCGACAGATGCCCCGGACCGAGATCGGGGTCAGGCCGGGCGCCGACAGACAGACACACACACACCCCTGGGCGGGGCCAGGAGGCTATTTAAGGGAGGGTTGGCTGGGAGTCGTCTCAGGTGCACCCCCCGGCCTTGACACGTCTCTTTGATCTCCCCCCCACCAGGGAAGAAAAATGTGAGGACCAGAATCTGCAGGGCCTCAAAGACAAGTCCCCGAAGGCCAAAAAGATGAAGAAGGAGAAGCAGAGGGAAGCCGAGCCGGCTGAGGCGGGCAAGGCGGAGACGTCCGAAGGAGCGGGGGCCGCCCCCGCCGCCCCCGAGGCCTCGGCCTCTCCCAAGCAGCGGCGCTCCATCATCCGGGACCGCGGCCCCATGTACGACGACCCCACGCTGCCCGAGGGCTGGACGCGCAAGCTGAAGCAGAGGAAGTCGGGCCGCTCGGCGGGAAAGTACGACGTCTACCTGATCAAGTGAGTGGGGCGGGGGCAGAGCCTATGGCTCCCAGCATGCACTGGGTCTCTGGTGGGAGTGGGGGACGGATGGGGCCTATGGCTCCCAGCATTCACCAGGCCTCTGGTGGGGAGGGGGGGGGGGACAGGACTACAGCTCCCAGCATGCACTAGGTCTTGGGGGGGGGGGGGGCGTCCCCCAGCATGCACTGGGCCTTGGTAGAGGTGGGACTACAGCTCCCAGCAGGCACTGGGCCTCTGGTGGGGGTGCAGGACTACAGCTCCCAGCATCCAGTGCTGCTCTGAGCATTGTATGCTGGGACTTGTAGTATCACCATGGGGTCTGGTTAAAGGCGCTCCAGGAGAGACCGGAGCTCCCAGCATGCTCTGCTCTTCCACAGCCCAGGAGCCTTGCCCATTGGCTGGCGAAAGACACAAGCACCCTGAACATTAGCCAGAGCCAGGGCCGGCTCCAGCTTTTTTGCCACCTCAAGCGCGGGGCGGGGGGGAGCCGATCGGCGGCACTTCGGCAGCTGAATCGGTCCACTTCAGTCTTCTGCGGCAATTCGGCAGCGGGGCCTTCAGTCCCTCTCTTCCTCTTCGGCGGCAGCTCAAAGAGGAGGAGAGGGACTGAGGGACCCGCCGCCAAAGACCCAGACGTGCCGCCCCAAGCACCGGCTTCCTTAGCTGGCGCCTGGAGCCGGCCCTGGCCAGAGCTCCTAGCATGAGGCTCCTGGGACTCTCGATCCCCAAGGGCTGAAGCCGGAGCCCCCCAGTGTGTCCCCCGCATCTTCTCCAGACCCCCCCAATCCCCTGCTGAGCAGCAGCTGGACAAGCTGGGGGAACCGAGCCCCCAGAGCTGGTGTTATGGGGGGGCTGTCATCAGCCCCCCTTCTTGTCTTGGGCAGTGCGTGGGGATCCCCTGCTCACCCACTTCCTTGTGCCCGCTTGTGGGGGGGTGAATCCTATTAACCCTTGTTCTCCCAACCCCGCAGCCCCCAGGGTAAGGCCTTCCGCTCCAAGGTGGAGCTTATCGCTTACTTCGAAAAGGTAGGGGACACCTCCCTGGACCCCAACGATTTCGACTTCACGGTGACGGGCCGGGGCAGCCCCTCGCGGCGAGAGCAGAGGCCCCCCAAGAAGGCCAAAGCCCAGAAGGGCCCCGGGACGGGGCGTGGGCGGGGCAGGCCCAAGGGCAGCGGCTCGGCCCGGCCAAAGGCGGCTGCCTCGGAGGGCGTGCAGGTCAAGCGGGTGATCGAGAAGAGCTCCGGCAAGCTGCTGGTCAAGATGCCGTTCCAGCCGGGGCCGCCGGGGGGCGCTGGAGGGCCGGGGGGCTCGGCTACCACCTCGGCGGCCCCGGGGGCGGGCGGGCGGCGGCCCGGGCGCAAGCGGAAGTCGGAGTCGGACCCCCAGACGCTGCCCAAGAAGCGGGGGCGCAAGCCGGGGGCGGCGGCGGGGCCCGTGGGGCCGGTGGTGGCCGAGGCCAAGAAGAAGGTGGTGAAGGAGCCGTCCTTCCAGGCCGTGCAGGAGACGGTGCTGCCCATCAAGAAGCGCAAGACCCGCGAGGCCGTGGCCCTGGAGGTTGCCCCACCGCCCCCCGAGCGCAGCCCCAAGGGACCCCGTCCCGGGCGCCGGAGCAAGGAGAGCAGCCCCAAGGGGCGAGGGGGCAACGCCGCCCCCGCCCCCCCCCCCCCCAGCCGGAAGGAGCCACAGCCGCCGCCCCCGCCGCACCAGCCGCCCCCCGAGCCTCTGGCCCGGCCCCCCGCCAGCCCCAAGGACAGCGTGAGCCCCCCCGAGGCTCAGGACTTGAGCAGCAAGGGGCAGCCGGAGAGCGACGGCTGCCCCAAGGAGCCGCCTAAGACTCAGCCGCCCGCTGTGCTCTACAAACACCGAGGGGAAGGGGAGCGCAAAGACGCTGTCTCCACCTCCTCCTCGGCGCCCCCGCCCGCCGCCCTGCCCCGGCCCAGCAGCAGAGACGAGGCGGTGGATACCAGGACGCCTGTCTCGGAGCGCGTCAGCTGACTTTGGGCGGCCCACGGCTAGCGGGATGGACGGACAGACAGACACACACACACACACCCCCCAAGACGAGAGGCAGCTGCTCCCGGGTAGGGCTCCGGCAAAGCACCTCCCCAGCCCCACGGCGCCCCCTGGCTTCCACCCCCCCTCCACTTCTCCCCCCTCCCCGTTTTTAATACCAAGAAGCACAGTGAGGGGTGTGGACCCCCCCGGGTTGGAAGCCACTTTGCACTTTTTCTATAAGAGAGGGGTGCCCCCCCCAGCTCCTTCCTCGATGCTTTGCTGCGTATACTACTGACCAGGCCAGCTGTTTGGGGGGGCTGCCCCCCCCAGCTCCTGAACACCCCCACCGGGCGGGATGAAGGGGGGGACCGTGTGTGTAGAGCCCCCTCTCCCTCTCCAGTGCCATGTAACGTCGTCGTCTGTTCTTCAGTATCGATCCGTGTTCGTTTTGGTAGGGCCCACGTAGTGTGTGAGAGTGAGGGGGAACCAGCCCCTCTCCCCCAGACTCCGAACAAAGCAGGGGGCTCAGAGCCTGTTCCTCCCGCAGGGTGGGGGAGCCGGGCCGGAGGGGCCGAGGAACGACAACGTTCTTCCACTTCTTTCTCAACGTTACTAGCTTAGGAAACCATTTGCACTAACCAGCCTTTGGCCGGCCGGGGGTGGGGGGGGTCGTATGTGAAACTACCTGTAACTCTTGGATCGGTACCGGGGGGAGGGGGGAGAAGGCAAATCCCTGAGCATCAGTGGGTTTATAACGGGGCTGGTTCAGGAGGGGGAAATCCAGGGCTCTCCATTAATACCTGCGCTTCCCTCCAGCCCCAGGGGTGTGGCTTGTACTGCCGGGCAGGGGGGAGCAGATGGGAAGGGAAAACCTAGCTGAAACCCCCCCCCCCAAGGAGGGCTGTGCCTTTTTTTTTAATGATGGACACAAAGGGTTAAAATGAATTCCTCCCCCCTCCCCAAGGTGAGTGAAATGGGGAGGGGACCCCCTCGGCTCAAAGCCCTGCGGCCAAGAGAGAAATACAGCAGAGGCTGGGCTCTGTTCTGGGCATAGCAGTGCGGTACAACTCCACCGGATTGGAACCCGGCCCTCCCCATTACAATCAGGAGTGACTCCGTAGAATCCAGCTCTGTCCCCATTGCAAATGGGAGTAACTCTGCATTGACTGCAGGGGAGCTGAGATCAGAACCCAGCCCTGACCCATTGCAATCAGGAGTGACTCTGGACTGACCGCGGGGGAGCTAAAATCAGAATCCAGCCCTGTCCCTATTGCAATTGGGAGTGACTCTGGATTGACCACAGGGAGCTGAGATCAGAATCTGGTCTTGCCCCCATTACAATCAAGGGTGACTCCAGACTGACCGCAGGGGAGCTGAGATCAGAATCTGGCCCTGCCCCCATTACAATCAAGGGTGACTCCAGACTGACCGCAGGGGAGCTGAGATCAGAATCTGGTCTTGCCCCCATTGCAATCGAGGTGACTCCAGATTAACCCCGGTGGGAGCTAACATAAGAATTGAGCCCTGCCCCGTTGCAATCAGGAGTGACCATGGCGGGAACGAAGATCAGAATCCGTCCCTGCCCCGTTGCAAACGGGGGTGATTCCGGATTCACCATGGGGGAGCTGATCTCACAATCCATTCCAGAGAGTAACTAAAACTTACACCCGTTTCTCCGCTTCTGCTGAGCTGGGTCCAGTTTCCCACCAAGGCTTTTCCGGGGGCAGCCAGACCTGACCCTGGGGAGAGGTGCCTCTAGTTTCCATGGTGTCCCCTGGTGCCCCCAGATCCTGGGGGGGTCCCCAGGCACCACACCTGGGTCCCATGCTAGGGCCGGCCGGAGGCTTTGATGTGCTTGGTGGGTGGAAAGGGGGTCCCGAGGGTGACCCCCCCGGGGGAGGGATCCCGCAACACTCGCTGCCGTGGCTTGGCACCGCTTTTCCCCACGAACCTGCGGCCCCGTGGCGGGGGCTGGGGGGTGTTAATCAAGGGACAGATTGTGCAGCTCGCCCGCTGCTCTCTTGAGCTCTGCATTCCTCAGAGGTCAGCCTCCCAAATTCTCGTTCAGATCCCCAACGTGCTGGGGGGGGGCAGCCCGCCACGCCCTGTTTGTAGCACTTTACCCTCTGCAGCGGCACTCGCTCGTGGGGGGGGGATCCGGCCCCCTAGAGTGGGGAGTCCAGGGCCGATCAGCTCCCTGGGAGTGAAGGCAGCCCCTTCGGCACAGAGGGATTTGGCTGCCCTCCCCACGCAGTCCAGCCCCGGGCCTGCCTGTGGAAGCACACGGGCTGGGGACAGAAGGGAAGCCCCAAGGTATCTTAGCACTGAAGTGGGGGGGTTATTGCAGGGCATCCCAAGCCTGGCCGGGAAAGGGGCCCCCGTCCTTCCGTGCTGAGCAGTCAGCCGTTCTGCACGGCTTGCCCAGGGCTGGTACGGACACCGGGGGGGGGGGTCACTCCACCACCACATCCGGTGCAAGTGGGGCTGGATTCGGCTGTCTAGACATCTGGGGCGAAATCTGGATTCTGGCTCCAAATCCCCTTTCCTGGCAGCCCTGCCTGCACCACAGCCGCCCGGGGAGATCGGTACTTTTGCACTTTAAGGAGGGGGGCCTGGCTAGTCACTGAATGTCTCTTTATTTTTGCTTAGGTTTCCCTTCACCTAACAACAAGGGTCTAGTGATTTATCTGAGAGGCACCACCTGGGGGGGCGAGGGACCTTACACCCACCATGACAAACTTCACATCTGCCGGTTGGCATCTGAGCCGCGGTAGGGGCCAGATCAGAACGTTCCCTGTGTTAGAAACTTTGGGAACCCCACTCTCTGGCTGTAAAATTTGGAGCAGCCGGTAGCCTGTATCCCCCTGGACATCCCCCTCTTTTCCCAGCCTGTCACGTGCAAAAAAAAAAAAAGGATTGGTGTCTGAAGTAGGATTTCATTGGGAAGCCAAAGGGAGCAGTGCTTGGATGGTATTTTCACCCCATTCTTGTTCCTACGTGGCCAGCTCAGCTGTTCTATCCCCAAACCCTCCCCAATGAAGACTTAGAGTGAGCCGAACTGGTTAAAACAGGACCCCCTCCAGAAGCCCCATTTCCCACCCCCATGATAGCTTTGCGACTCAACTCACCCCCCCGTGGAATTGCCCCCTGCCATCAGCTGATACCAGCTAGTGTTTGACGGGAGGCCTAACCTTTGGGCTTGGTTTCTGTTTTAAAGGTTGGGGGACGGGACGTGATTTCCTTCTGTTTTTCTGATTTATTTTTTAACGCGCCCCGAAGCATCAGATTTTTCTATACCTACCTGTATAGTGCATTATAAATCAGTGGGGATTGAATTGCTTTCTTTCCTTTCCTTTCCTTTCCTTTTCGTTCCTCTCTTTCTGCTTGTGACTGACAACAGCGACTGAGGGAGATTTAAAAACTCACCCCAAAGCACCTGTCTGGTGGGGGAGCGCAATCTTCCTCTTGCTTCTTTTACGGTATCCCTGCTATTTACTAGCGTAGGATAAGGGACAATAAACAGATCCTTCCAACCTGCCTGCCAGTAGCTTTCTCTGTGACCAGAGCTGTGATCTTAGTGTTTCTGGTTCTCTCTCTAAAGGGACCCCCACCCCGGCTCCGGTGTGGAGGGGCGAAGGGGGCAGCTAATGCTCTAGCGGGGTGGGGTGGGTTTTTTGCACTCCTCTGCTTGTGTCTCAACTCCTGAATGTCTGATCCTGAAGGGGGTGCCCTTGGAAGCACCCGTAGCAATGAGTAGACCACTCGGATCCCGGCTGTTGTGGGCTGGGAAGTCCCGTAGTGGTGGAATCGGGACCCCAGTGGGTACAGGATCCGACCCTCCATTGCTCTCTCCAACCCTGTGTGCATCTTGGGTGAGCCAACCTGCTCTGCGTGCATCGCTGCTTCCTCTTTGGACGCTCAGTCAACCTTAGAACAGCGCGTCTCCGGCTGGTGTCAAGTGGGCATGACTCTGCCTGCTGGACGCCTGGCCCTCCGCCGTCGCAATGGAGCACTTTGAGCAGCCACGTGGCCAACTGGCGTAGACCGGACTGATTCCTTAGGCAATGCACACATACCCGCTGGATGACGTGACTGGAGGTCCCTCCGGAGCTAGGAAGACCTGGTCTTTGTGTTCCTCAATATTTCCCCACGGATGGGAGCAGGGTGTTGTGCCCACGATGGCATGCAATCGGGAGCTATGCTTAACGACCATTCTGGCTCCCGCCCTTTCATTTAAGTTAGCAATAGCCGCTCGGGAAATAGCAGTTTTGAATTGCTGTTCTTCCAAAAGACGAGTAGCCCGAGCGTTCAACTTCCAAGGGGAGGGGGGAAGATCCCGAAGTGTCCAGATGCTTCCACCACGGTTGTCTTCCTGCCCTCTTCTGGATCCAACCCCCTCCCACCCCTCACTCACTCCCTGCTCCCCAACCCTGGATGGGATTAGCGGAGATGCCGTGGGATTCCTCCACCACCCACACGCAATCTGTTGAGTGCAAAAAATTAAATATATTGGTAAGCTTCTCACCCTCCCTAGGGTCAGGGGCCGCCTCCTTTTTCCTCCGCTTCCGTCAGACAACATCTTTCCGCTTTCAAGACTCAGTAGTGATTGTCATATGACCAAATATTACCAGGACTGTTAATCAGTATATGCTGAGTGCTTGCCCTTTGTATACAGATGTAAACTCCCCCGTGTATATCCGACTCTTTCTAGCAAGAGGCTGTTTTGTTACTTTTTTTGCCTTTTTGGTTTTAAACAAGTTGTTCTTTTATCTTGTTGAAAATTCCAGAGAGAGAGAGAGACACACACACACAGAGAATTGGATTTTGGTTCACTTTTAGTTTTCCCTGCCTCTGCTAGTCGTTTCTTGGGTGGGGGGGGACAAAAAACGTGGTGTTTCGAGACTTTATATTTGTGTGTCATTTCTTTTAGTCTTGCCCAGTCGAGTTTAAAAAAAAATAATGAGACAGAGGAATGTCGGTGAAGTCTTCTGTGTTTTCTGTTTTCTTTTTGCGATGGTCTACAGGTCTGTATCGTGAACGTTTCTGGAAAGTAATTGTCCCAAACACACGTTTCCACCACGATGCTTTAAAAAAAAAAAAAAAATCAGAGAGCCCCCGAGAGCTTCCAATTGAAATAGGTTTTGTTCCCACTTGCAACAAAAATCTACACCCTTATTTGCTCTTGAAGTGCAAATGGAGGCCTGCCTACTTCCCTGAGGTACTTACTGTTAGATACTTACCTGCTACCAAGTCCGGACAGTAGACACCTCTTGAATCTAATGCCCAAAGGGTGCCTGGGAGTTGATGCTAGCCACGGGCCAGGTGGGCATGAAGTGCAGACTTTTAACAAGAGAGTCGACCACTTGGACAGACAGTTCACGTAGTGTCCATCACATGCCATATTTCAGTCAAAGTTGGGTTGGATTTTCTAATTGCTCTATCACAAGTTTGGGATGGAGGAACTGCCGGGGTGAGTCTCCGGCCTTGGGCAGAGTGGCAGCTTCTTCTGGCCATGACCTAGAATCACAGAATCTCAGGGTGGGAAGGGACCTCAGGAGGTTCTAGTCCCACCCCCTGCTCAAAGCAGGACCAACCCCAACTAAATCATCCCAGCCAGGGCTTCGTCAAGCCGGG